CCACCCCGCTACATGAGATGCAGCTGCAGCTGGGGTGTGACAGCCAAGTGGAACGAATGGGGATCGAGCTTCCCCTCCTCTTCCTCTTTAGGATGCAGATGAGTCTGGGGTGTAACGGCCCAGGTGAACAAACAGAGAGCTCCCCTCACCCAATGGAAATGGGATGCAACTCAGTCTGGGGTGTAACAGCCAAGTGGAACAGATAGGAATCTACCACCCCCTCCCCTTTTTGTATAGGATGCGGCTGTGCCTGGGGTGTGACAGCCGAGTGGAACAAAGGGGCATCTCAGCCCCGTCCTGCACCCCCTTCCCCCCTCCCCTATGATGCAGCTGAGTCTGGGGCAACACCTGGGGGGGCCTCTCACCCACGCGGCAGGGGGCGGGGCCAGCGGGACGGGAAGCCGTTGCTGCCATAGGCGTGGTCGTGGTCAAGGCTGAGAGTGTCAAAGCGAGCAGCCATCTTGTCCTCCGACAGGAAGTGCTTCCGGGTTGGCTCCCTGTAGTGACAAAGGCGGGAGGGCAGGTGAAGGCTCCCAGCATGCTTCGCTCCCGCTCCCGCCTTCCCACAGTGCCTTGCTCCCCCCCATACTCACAGCTCCTGCTTCTCGAGGCGCCGCTTGCAGGCCAGGGCAGCAGGGCGGGGTGGGGGTCGTCGGGGAAGTGCCGCGGCGGAGAAGCTCACCACCACTGGGGCCCGCCCTGCCCAGGGCATGTGGGCGGGGACTTCCTGCCTCCAGCAGCGGGGTTGGGGCAGGGCTGGGGGGGCCATCGGGGGGGCATTACCTGATTGGAGTGGGGAGAAGAGAGTCAGGCCAAGGAACTCCTATCATGCATTGTGGTTGGGGCGCCTCTGGGGCTGAATCATGCCAACTCCTGACTTCCACTCCACTCAGGCCAAGCCCAGGCGCTCCCATGATCCTCTGGGGCTGAGCCACACCAATTGGAAGCCTCTCATGATGCCCTGGGGCAGTTCAGACCAAGCCTAGGCCCTCCCATGATCCTCTGGCTGGAGAGAGAATGAAGTGCAGGGGTGCTGAGGACAAAAGGGGTGTGGCCAAGTGACAAGGGGTGGGGCCTACCGCAGAGGAAAG